GAAAGGAATTAGTTTTTGAAAGTGACTAAAATAAAGACATTTTCTGAAGGCCTGGGCACACCTTTTTCATTTCCAAAGGTTCTGCACACTCAAAAAAAAAACTTGCTAGTTCACATAAGCACACAACTCGGGGGGTGTTCACCTAACTGAACCAAGCTTCCACATCTTCTAAAGGTCAGCTCTTCAATGCGTTAAAATTTAGCAATTTTAACTAGTGAACTCTACATTAGCTAGTGAAGACCCTAAATGCTAAGTTTGGTTGCTGGAAGAAAAAAGCAGGTTACGTTCATCTCCCCTGTTCCCTTTGGGGCATACCCTGTTGTAGGGTTAGCAGGCAAACCCAGGGGAAAAACAGCTCCCATGCAAATGTCATTTTAAATAAGATCCAACTGGAATGGCTCAGTAGTGGGAGCAGTAGGGTTTTTGCATTAGCTTTACAATTGTCTAATGAAAAGAACTCAGAAAAGAGTGCCAGACTAACACAGAAACACGTCGTTCCAGTGCTAAGACAGTTTTAATGTGGCACCTGAAGTGACTAGAAACATTAGGAAAACATCATTTAGGCAAAAAAAGGTGGGGTTGTGCCAGCCAGTTAATTAGCAGTGCAATCTATGGCCACTCACTCCATTTAATATGCATCAATACCATTAGTCTTTAATGATGATGAATCTAAAGGGCGCAACATTTCTACGCTGCTGAACATGCCTGTTAGAGGACAGCACCTTCTTCCCTGCCTAAGTAACATGGCTCTAAGGTCTGGACTTTTGGGAAGGGCACTAGGCAGGCTGCAGTGTTTTAAGTAAACATGACATTTATTTTCAGATAGGTCACATGTCCTGCCTATTGTGGCAAGGCTCAGAAACTGTAAATGGATTTTCTGCAAAGACAAAGCACAAATTATTACCCACCCTTCTACTATTGCCTCACTTGGAGACATAACTAAGTGGATGCTGCCTAACACAAATAGCAGCCTGCCTTCTCTAGAAGCACTGACCTAACAATGTGTTCATTAATCAAAGTGGCGCCTTTACTAGAGCTGAGAATAGTCATTGATCCACATTCAGATGTGGGCACAGGAAGGTAGACAGCTTTAAGTACTGCAGCATGAAGGGCTGCAAAGTTGTAACTATGCAGAGACACCAACCAAGTCTCCTGCCTTGGGAGTGGCAAATCCTTCCCTTTACTGAATCTTTTCCAAGGAACTCAGAGAGGACCAATTCTTTGATACTGGGGCAGCAGGATTTGGCCCAATAGAAGAAAATGCACCAGTCCTTGAAAAGCACTTGCTGAATGCTGAATCCGTGACAGATGCGTTCCTTCTTCTGAAGAGGAGGAGGAGGATTTAAGGCTCGGCCTACACTGGGTTGGAAACAATTCCCAGAACGCAACTGTGGCCAAACATGGCTAAGAACTGTGCACAGTATGACTGCAAACAACAGGACAATGCTGACTACAGTGAGCAATCCCACAGTTATTCTGCTTGGCACTGGCAGGATCAGATTTCTGATATGCCAAAAAGGAGAGACTCGCATTATGTCAACAATATTGTGTGCTCAGCACTGAGTTGAGTTTTCAAGTGTCTGCTTAAGCCCCTCTGCATATAAAGAAGACTGGATACACACTGCTTACTTCCTGTGATAGATGCCACTCTCCAACTGAGAAATGCTAAGAAATAACTTGAAAATTCTGACAGAAATAGGATGGAAAATAAGACTGGAAATCCTTACCAACGTCGTGGATGAACCTCTCAATTTTGGACTGCATCCCCCAGTATCGGAACTCTACTTTACAGAGTTTATATGCACACATGATTGGATATTTCCCAGGGTTGTTCGTGTACTCCTCAATCCAGTCTTCCGAGAGTGGCCCTCTTCTCGTCTTCAGAGATTTATAAAGCTTGGGATCCTCTTCCGCCTTGTATTCATGTGTAGGGATAGGGTCTTTAACAATATCAATAGGATCTAAAGGCAAGGAACACGAGACATTAAAAAAAAAGTTTATTTTTTCCCCTGAAGGAATATAAGCCACCATGTTTAAAGGTTTTTTTTTTCCTTTGGTGATTACCAGAAATATTAAAACAATTTAGCTTTTTTTTTAATTTACCCTTAAACAACAGATATTTAATTATATTTATATTTGTCTACATCGGGGTGATGACTTTGCCAAAGGAACTTGCACATGTAGTTTTAAGTAAATAGAAGCTTTACCCCTAGTTGATATTTTGGCCCAGGGAGGCTATCCTTTAGATCTATTATATCTTTTCAGCTGCAAAGAGCTCTTATACATTCTGATCTTCATATCCGCTAATGCCACCCAAAATGCTGTAAAGCACTGCCTAACTTCAGAGGCTTTAATACAACTGTCCTTTTCTAACAATATCATAGAACACACAGTAGCTATTGAATACCATGCCCCGGGTGTGAGCTTACTAATAACTCCTCATTTTTTTGGTGTCATACTGTAGAGACTATGCAATCTAAATTTTCTGCCTTTTAAGTCTAAAAATTATCCAATATACACTTTAGCAATGAAGGGGGAGGGGAAAACAAGCCTTGCAGAACTAATGAACATATCCTAAAAGGCCTGCAAATGAACCTGAAAACAATGGTAGAGACATCTAAACCTCAGTTTGAAAGTGTGGCATCTTCATTATTTCCTGAGAAATGGCAGGTCATTTGATAAGTTCTGTATGAGGAAACATGACTCAAGCCTATTTAAGAATGAGTCAATCTACTTCACAAAAGGCTCGGAAGGCAGGTTTGGCGTTTGGTGACAAGAACACGCTAATCCTGGTTGAAAATATAGACATTCAAGCCTACAGAAATTAAAGTAAAATTGCATCTTGGCATCTATCTTGGTCCATCGATGTACAGCATTTCAGGAGTGGTTAAGAAGAAAAAGGTGAAGCAGCCACTAGGTGGCCGCCTTCATAGCTCATGGACACCGATCATCACTAATTACACGGCTCCTAAAGGAAGCCAAGCACGACTCAAATCAATACCTGAGAATCTCAGCAGTTTCATAAGCAAGTAATGCTATAATATGGTGCAACTACAATAGCTGACACTCACTCCCACGCAACGGGTCTACTGCAAATGCTAAGGGGACTGGCCATTAGGAAAAGCGAACGGAGCCAGGATAACACTTGCCAATTTCTTTTTAGAAAGTTTATAAGGCTCATTACCCTGATCTGCTAAGGCGGCTGCAAACAGGAATTCAGCACAGAAATGACACAGAGGGGAAAGTGGAAAAGATCCGGGAAGTCTAGGCAGAAACAAGCTTCTTGCCGACAAAGCTTGTATGCTGTTAAAAAAAAAAAAGATAAAAAAATGACAGCTTCAGGAGCTTTCACGTTCTGGTATCTCAAAGATCATTGGAAGCTTTAATCCTCACAGCATCCATATGAGTTAGGGAAGTGTTGTCCCACTTTACAGACAGGATAACTCATCTGCCTAGAAACCACAAGTGATCTACTGAAGGCCACAATAGGCCCAGACCTCCCAGTTACTAGTTCTTTGTTGTAACCGCTGGACAATGCTTCGTCTGCTGAGAAAAATGAGCATTTATCTTCCATCTAGCAATTGAAAGGCAAGATAGAAGAATACAAAAGAGGGGTGGAAAAGTGATATTCACCAAGAGTTGTCTGTCTTTTTTCTGCAGGAGAAAGGTTGAACACATTGAAATGCTCTCCTGGATCCGCTTTGTAGTATGTTTCAATATCAATTGAGAACTTCTCCACAAAAGGACACGTGTACCTGAAAGAGAAGAGTTAAGTGGCTTTTTTAGACGAAAACCTTCTAGACTTAATGAGCAGTGAAGTGCTGTCATAACAGACATGTAAAAACTGGCTGTGAATCCAGGCTTGCTCTCTTTCTCATGCTTTACTTTCAATGTGCTTAAGATGCAATCTGTATATACAAAAAAAGGAGCCAGTGATTCTGAGCTGTGTAGTTTTTTGTTTTTTGTTTTTTTTTTAAGGCAAGAGCATGGCTTGGGAGCACAGCTTATATGGAAACGCTCTGCAAGCAGAGCCGACCGGAGCAATGTGCGGGGCCTGGGGCAAATCAGCTTGTGTGGGGCCCACCCTGATCCCATGCTCCCTGGATGCAGAGAAGCCACTGCCACCATCACCAGCGGCAGGGATGGGGAGCAGCAAGTGGCCAGATGTGAAGCCGGTGACAGCAGTGCCAAGTCACCGCAGCCACTCTGCCTGGCTCCACAGGACCCCACAAAGCGCAGGGCCCGAGGCAGTCGCCCCAATTCGCCCCCCCACCCCTCCCCGAGGGATGGCCCTGTCTGCAAGAATCAGATCCCAAGATCACAGAGAGGATCTCTCATATTACGCCAATACTGACTACACCCAGCACTAATGTTATAGTGAGATAGGGCCAGATCCCCCTGTTCAACCAGTGAGAAATGGCACCCACACAGTCAAAGCAACATGCCCTTGAGCTACTGATGGATGAGTCATAGCAGGAAAGAACATTTGAGAAATAAATCATCCTGCTTTCCATCATAAGCAAAGGCAGTTGAGAGACCGCTGCACCATGTAACACAATTTCAGGTTCCCTGGGTTGTATCGCTAAGTTGTATTTTACATGGAAGCATCAGAGAGGAAACAGTAGGCATCTTATGCTTCTGCACCATGGGTCTCTTGATTCCCTTGTCTGGGCATTACACATGGATGCTGCATGCAAAGATGGTGTTCTCTACTCCATCAGATTGTGTAGGCCATTCTACCCCCAAAATGCCATCCATCTAAAGCCCTTAGCTTTACATTTCTCCACTAAGTATGACCAGGATGAACCTAGCTATCAGGACTGATCTGAGACATGACAGCAACACCACACTTACCAACCTGTGGCCCAGGAAGTCTTCCCAAATGAAATAACCAATATGTGGTAAAATACAGGATTTCCCTACATGAGGGTGCCATGATGCCTCTCCAAGTCAGTAGACAGAAAAAAATCCCCAGAGGGCCCCACAAGCTTTTTTTCTCTATTAGAAGTAGGAGTTTGTTTGTTGGGTTTTTTTAAATCATCTTCTGTTGAGATAACAGCAAAGCCCTCAGCATGGGTGCATCTAAGAACATCCCAAGTATTTTACTTTCAGTCTCTCTTCTTTTTCCCAGCTAGACCGCTGCAAATAACACAATCCAGATTTTCCATACTGGAGCACACCAGAGCTTATATTTAGACATAAGAGGCCAAGTTCTGATGTCTTTCCACAGTCTGCTCAGATAAAGATTGAGTGAGGATCTCTGGACTTAGCCCGACCTCTCTCTAAAGAAAGCTCACAGAGAAGAACACGGTGGCATTGTAACTCAGTCACAGCAAAATGAAGTGGCACAAAGTCCTTTAGCTAACAGTAAAAGTCTGGGGATATCCCCAGAAATTATACCTTGTCCTTGTGTAAGGATATGCATTCCAGGACTCTTCTTCAACCCTTAATGCTGCCTTTGGCAGGATAGACCGGAACCAACTGGGTATGTGCATACCAATATGATATACTTTATGTGTATACTGCCCATTGCCACCTGGACCATCCATATACGGTCTGTTCTCCAGGATCTCCACTCCACTGCCTTCTCCACTTGTCTCCTCTCTGCTTTTTTTCTGAAAGGAAAACACAGCCATTGTTTTTGATGTGCCACATTTTACGTACTATGTTCTCACACCGTATTTAAACAGGGGAATCAGCAGTTTTCATATGTAATTGCCGTTCGACATAAGCCATTAACCACAGATTACAAATGGCTATTATTCATCCTTTGTTCCTACATTGGCCAGAAGGGTAGTCTATTGGAAACCCACGCAGGTCAGAAAACCTAGATCCAGACACTTCCCTGAAACTGCAAAGAAAGGTTGTTGTTTTTTTTAAACAGAATTAAAACGTTAGTGAGAAAATGCTCAAAATTATAGCTGGTACATTGCTTTGTGGAGTTGGAAAGACAATACAGGACCCCACACAAAGTGGCTACATAGGCACATAGCCGGTATACATTAATGAAATCCAAGACATGCTGTTAGTCATGCAGCCTACAATAGCCAAGAGTAAAGTGGTTAAGAGGTTTCAACGTGACATTATGGGAAGAAGAGAAACAAGACCTGCGTATAGTAAATGTATCAGCACGGAGCTATATGGTTATAAGACATTCTTAGACATTGGATTTACCATGCAGTGTATAATTGCTGGGGTGGCGGGCATTCAATAGCATTAGCAGTCTCTGCATGTCCATGGGCGACGGGGGAGGTCAGCCAATTCTCTCACTCTCATTTCTTGTGGGTGGTCTTGGCTGGCTGTCTTCATGCTGGTAGTAGCCCATAATGTGCTTGATGTAGATGTCCCTTGACCACTGGATGGTATCAAATACCATGAGATGTCTCATCGGTTTTGAGTAGCAGTGGGATACTCTGCAGACTCACAGGATGCCCTCAATGCTTAGGAGAGCATCCTGTCTACTTGTGTTACCCAAATGCCTTGGGCGCTAAGGCCCACCTGACTAACTAGTGGCGCCTATGGTGTGGGGCCAGCAAATGAATAACACAACAAAATGCTTAGGACAACTAAGGCAAAAACAGGATAGGCGTGTCGTGTGGGTCAAAGGGTCAAAATGTGGAAATAAGTGCACCTGAGGGGGAAACCGGGCAGTCCCCCGGGCCGCACCCACCGGTCCTCAAAGGCATCCAAGGAGCCAGCGGACATTGCTCACTGGTGCTCTGCCTGGAAACGTGCACACACAAGTGACAGGAAAGCAGCCCCACAGTTCCCGGGCACCTTCCCAGCCAGAGTCTCCTTCCTGGTCATGTACAGGGCCCGGTTGGCCAAGGCCAGGAGGAGGTTGACCAGGAGGTCCTGGGACTTGGTGGGGCTGTGGATGGGGTGCTCAAAAATAAAAAGGTGGGGGTGGGGGTGAAGTTCAACCAGAACCTCAGGAGGAGGTTTTCCCTTCTTCTGCAGAAGGGGAAGGAGACCAGGGTGTCTGGGAAGCTTGCCACATACACGCCCGTGGCAACGGCTCCATGGAGAAGCCACCAGATGAGGTCCCCAGTGGCTCGTGGGATGAGGATGGAGTACAGATTCAGCCACTGGGGTGCCCCAGCTACGCTCTCGCCGAGCAGGTCCCGCCACTTGGTGTCTGGGTGGGACATGAGGGTGGTGGGAGAGCATCCTGACAGTCAGCTCAGAATAGGCCAAACCATAGTTTTGCTGTTCAGTAGGCTGAAGTTTGGATCCAGATCTCAACTGGTATTGCACCACAACTGCTTCTGTACTACCTGAAGTACTGATAGCAGGGTTTTAACAACGCTGATGCATTTTTGCAGTGAGACAGAGTGATCAATCAACAAGTATTCAGTGCTATATCACAGGACTACATGCCACATTTTCCGACCCATACACTGTGGAGTTTTAGGGGTTTGTACTGTTGGTCTGCAGATGCTTCCTCAGCCTGACAAAGGGTTTGCGCCCGAAAACTCGCAAAGAAGATTTTTTCCAATTATTTGAGTTGGTCTAATAAAAGAGATCAAATTTACCCAAACAACCTTGGCTGCCTATGTCCTTAGATCAACACGGCTACAACCTACACCCCTAAAACATTTGAAAGGATAGCGCTTTGGCAACTGAAAACAACTTGGGTTTTCATGTACGAACCAACTGTAAAACGATATTGTAATAATGACCTTTTCTTTCTGGCAGGAGAACAAAAGGAAAGGAAACATGCTTTAACCAAACGCAATTAATAAGTTTCAAAAAAGATCAGAATCTCTTTGTTCAAGGATAAAATAAGCAACATAGCTATTTAAAACAATACAAAAAGGCTATTTGGTTTCAAAGCAACTCTTGAAACATGTTAATGCTCCCTGACATGAGCAAAAAAAAATCTAAATATAAAAGAGGGGATTTTTTGTGACCGGCAAGAGTGCAGATTAGAGAAGTAAATTATGAAGAAGTGCCTGCAGTGCCTTAAACATACTTCTTCTTAGAACAAGTTCCTGTCTTTCAGCCCTTTTGTAAGCAGCAATCAAGCCCTGTACAAATATTTATGGGAAAACACTAAATAATCTTGATGACCCAAAAAGTTGGCGAATCCAAAGGTCTAAGAAAAAAGGCAGGCACCCAGCAGGACTAGCAAATGTGTCAGACAGAATAACAGTAGAGCATCTAATCTAAACAACTGATACAAATTATGAAGCTCTATAATTTCATTGCAAGGCAGAAGTGCACTGCAACCAGAAGGAGGGGAAATATGGATATAATTTAGTACCAAATTGTTGGCTGGATGAAGATCTATCACTCTGGAGGGCAAAGCACCCTCAACATCCACCCAAATCAACAGTGCAGACTGCAGAGTATCTTCAGCACTAGGTAGGATCAACCCTCCTGTGGCTGCTGTAGACTGAGAACAGACAGATGTACGGATGGACAGTTGCACTCTGTTTGGATACCAAAATGCTGGCTGTTTAGTAGCCTGGCTTTATCTTTGAAGCTGATACTACAATGGATTTTAAAAAATCCCTCTGCTTTGTTCTCAATAATGGCACTGTAATTCCATACAGGTTATTTCAAAGCTTCAACCAAGTTGAGTCTGAGCACAGTAACTCTGTTTTTGCCTTTGTAATGGCTTCTCACTTCCCTTGTAATGTTTAAGAGGTTTATCCAGTGGGCCAGCCACTTTTGCTGTTCTGGTTACGAGCTCAAAGGCCCAGCACCTGCACTTTAGCTGACTAAACTCCCACTGAACAGATCAGCATGTGAAGCATTAATGGATTGTCTTTGGAGACATCCTCCACAGCAGCATGTGCCCTTTTAGAAAAAGCCAACTCCCACGTCACCTCAGACCCAGTCATCGGGATGGCAGAACAGCCCCATTAATTTTTTTTCGTGCTGCATTTACAATGTCATCTACATGAAGTGTGGGAAAGGAGGGGAAAACTGAGTGTAACTCTCTGGAGCTCCACCCATTGGAGAAGCTAAAACGTGACGTGCAGGTTTTCATAGTTTCATACTTGTTAGGGGCTGGAAGAGACCTTACAGATCATTGGGTCCAGACCTCCCTGCACGTGTGCAGAGAAGACTGCTGGGAGCAGGTGACCCCAGAAAGATGGGCATCGAGACGCTACTGTGATCTTACAAGTGCTGCTGTTCAGACATTCTCAGAGGCCAGGTGGATTAAAAACAGTGAACGACAGGCATACACCTAAAGCTCCAGCTTCAAGAACAAAAAAACCACCAGCACCCAAGACTTCATTAAAGCAATCATCCTCATGGCTGCAGGGAAGAAGCTGGCTCCTCACAACCATAAACCTACCCTTTTGGCTGACACAGGCTCTGTCCTACTATTCCAGGGGTAGGCAACTTTTTTGGCGAGAGTGCCAAAAAAAAAAAACACATCTTGGAAGGTGCTGGAGTGCCGACATGCCAGAGCCCAGAGCAGCTGTTTGCAGCCTCCCGGCTGCAGCCGCCCCACAGAGCCCAGTCTGCTTGCAGCAGGGTCTGCAGCCTCCCAGCGCCTGCTGGGAGCAGCCTGGGCTCCTTCCGTGGCAGGCAGCAGCTGCCTAGAGCTCGAGCTGGTGGTGGTGTGCCAAGCAAAATGGCCTTGCGTGCCATGCTCGGCATGTGTGCCAGGGGTTGCTGACCCCTGTACTATACTCACTCTAAGTAGGATACAGGTGCTAAGCAAACCACCCCCTAGCCTTGTGACTCCATGGCTCAGAAGGGGGACAAGGAAGGGAGAAGGTGGAAATGCAACTCCTCTCCCAAAGGTCACCCAGTCCCTTGCTTCTGGCACCAAATCAGACACCGCTAACAGCAGAGTGCGCAGATCTACAAGCCTCCCTCTCCTTTCTGGCACCTGCTGAAAGCAATGAAATAGTTAATGCTGACATTTCAAATATCGGTGCTAGACATACGAGCAGGAACCTTGCTTACGTCAAAAGTATATGAATGCCCACATTTACAATTCAGAGGGGTCCACACTGCCATTCAAAATTTCCAAAGGGGTCCAACACCTCCATTCAAACATTTTTAAGGATCCACAAATGAAACAAGGTTGAAAACCGATGGGCTGGAGACTTCTATTTATGTAGTGAAGTGAAAGCTAAGGGGAGATTCTAGCAAGCCCTAAATAAATCCCAAGTCACTGACCCAGCTCAGTAAGAAGTCTGAACTGCTGTCTTGCTTCAGCAGCTCCCTCTGCCACAGGTCTCTCCACTCCCAACATAAAAAATGAACACCCTGGCAGAAGTAATGGCCAGGCCTCTAGCTGGAAGCGTTTCTGCTAAAGAAATATTTATTTAGCACCTTCCAAGCCTCTGTAAATGTTCCAATTCAGTCCCAAATGGGGCCAATCATTTCTCTATCAGGAAGAAGTCTCCTGCTCTTCAGACTGTCCAGAGATAGGTTTCACTTGTCTTACAACACAAGGCAACACTCTCCACAAACAAGGGGCCATATCCAGGCCTGGGTCACTGGTAGTTCTGGCAGGGATGTAGCTGGGCCAGAACAGTCACTCGAGCACAGTTAAATGGTGATGAACAGTTTGCCAAAAACACCCGACACGAAGACGACTTCCTGCCTGCTTCAAAGCCCAACAGTATCACAATCATCACAACAC